TATCTTGTCCAAAGACACTTTAATATGGAGACAAGAAGAGCTGGGGAACCATATTTAACTTCACTGCAGAACTACAGCTGTTTTGAAAACACTGACCACTGCATGAGCATGATTTATAATAGATTTCAGCAGCATTTTTAGAATCTGCTTCACATTAGCCTGTCTAACAGGTCTAGACTAACTCCCAAGTCCCCTCTTGATGCTCCCACATCACTTTGCCTTCATTTGTGTACCTAAAAGAGCTGTTCCAGATAATAAAGCCATTAACTTTTATTGGAATCGCTCCCAGTCCCCCCATTTCCCGGTGATTCTCTCTTCTTGGTAGACACTTGTTTGTGGAGTGCTTTATTATTCTCAGATTGGGGGAGTTGTAGGTCTATAGGACATTCCTTGTTCTGTTTAAAAAGAGAGGGATGTCAGGCGTCACTGGTCTGTCAGTGGCAGCTGTGCTTTGAATAAGGATTGCTCAACAGCAAGTCTGAAAAGCAAAGAAAAGAAAGCATTCATTTAAAGTAATGATTTGACATTATGGGAAATAACCTTATTTGATCTCTTGTTGGAAGTTAGATGAGAAGCTCAATGCCACTTTCATATCTGTGAATCTGTTAATATGAAGCTACAGCCAGGAGACGTTGAACTTAGCATAGCATAAAGACTGACAGTATATTATAAACAGCTAGCCTGGCTCTGTCTAAAGGTACAAAACACACAACAAAACGTCTTAATTATTGAGCTTTAGAGGTGCTGGCAGGCAGATTTTTTTTTCACTTTTGGACAGAGCCAATCTTGCTGTTTCCCCCTGCTTATACCGTTTATATGCTACACTCACTAGTTCTAATGGCCCTAGCTTCATATTTAGCATACAAATATAAGAGTGGTATTAATCTTCTCATATAAGCTAGAAAGTGAATAAGCATAATTCCCAAAATGTCAAAAACAGCCAGTGAACTAGCAGCTAACAAGTACAGCTCGATAAATCTGACTTAATGTGTTGTCTTTCATCTTTATCAGTCCATCATTACTAAGACATGCAATCTCTTCAAACTTTAGATTACTGGCTAGCCAACATGTAGCATCACCTCCCAAGCTCCTTCTCATTGTCTTTCCACCCTTTTTTCCTTTCTGACACTTCATTGCTGTTGTGAGGATATGAGAGGTCTTGATGTGTCTTGTTTCCCCTCCTGTCCTCTAATCCTGTTCTTCTCTGACTGTCTTCTTCTCTCCTCTAATTCAGGGCAGAGTTGTTGAGTGAAACTAGTTTCCCTGACTGATCAGCCCCTGCCTTTTTATCGAGGACTGTCCGACTGTCCAACCACTGTCTTCCCCCTTTTTCCCCTGTTACCTCTTAGAACCCAAGTTAGGACCTCTTGTAGAATACTGCCTTTCCTCAGTACTACATCTGCGCCTTATAAGTTTTAATGGGTACCAAGATGCATTATCTTCTCCCATTTTAGCCTACCCTCAGAGCCTTTACTGTAAATATGGACTTAAAAGGACATGTGATCAGACCTTCTATTTAAGAAATGGGGCAGCCTCCTCCATTTAAGCCGTACTCCACCTCCCACACCCCCCTCTGTCCCATTATTGGCTGAAAGTTAACAATGATTGAAACCCCTTGTGGTTTTGTTGCGCTGATTCATTATTTCACTTATATCCTATGACCTCTGGGTTTTTTTGTAAATGTGTCTTTTGGGTTTATTTTGTTTGCTTTGACTGTACTTTGACTGAAACGTGTCTTTTTTTCCCTTTTGAATTGCAGACCAAATGTTAAAAGTACCCCACCAGAGAAAAGGGAGCAGTACTTGTAGTTTGGGAGAGTCTTCTGGCATTACCATGGTTTAGATTCTGTCAGCAGACAGAATCCTCTCACTGAGGAATTCAAAACAGACAAACACCATTAAAGAAAGAATTTATGAACAACAACCTTTCAAGCATATTGCAGCAACATAAATTAGAGTCTTTGTTTAAGTAAAAGTAATTGTTGGGGGGTTATGAAATAGTTGATCAGGGGGATTGAGAAAGATGACATCTTTGTCTTGTCTGTTTTGTTGACTTCGGGAGAGACAGTCATTCAGGGTATGTTTTCTGTAACATGTTAAAATGCCCAGGTGTATATACCACCTCCTCTATTCTCTCTCTCTCTTTTTTTTTTTTTTTTACTACATGTATAATGTTATATTACAGTGCCTTATAACACATGTTTGTGCACATGTATGTTTTTGACTTCATGAATTCTTTATAGTCTCCTATCCCATCTGATGGATGTGTCCATAGTTCCTCTGCCAGCAGTTCTGTATGCCTTTATTTTTTATTGTTGTTGGATTTCTGAAAATGAATGTGAAGCTACTCTGCAGTACCACTTATGAAAGAAAAAAGACATACCTACGATAGGTCTTCAGCATAGTGCCTTATTATCCAAGTAGCCTGGATTGAGGATATACCCAGTACATTCATTTTGTTGTGCCAATATGATTTTGTGTGAGTGACAGAGTCATTATTTTATTGACTCTAAAGGATGTACTGTACTGTGTGCTGTCTCCTGTACTAAGGAACGCCAGTTTGCTGAGTGTTCAAATGCCCTTCTGATGCCTGCATTTATTTACCATGCCATTCCTTTCTCTAATATTTACCTCCTCGATGTTGTGTATCATCTCATTTACAGTATACCCCTGTCTGTTCCTTTTAGAATAAAGTAAACAGAGACATGGACTTGGCTATGAGTCACTGCTTTATTAGTTGTTTCCTAACTTTTCACCCATGCCTGACTTTCGGCCCACTCCCCCCACTCGTTCCTCTTTTCCAGTTCAAATACTTCTTTTGCACCCTGTTGTTCAATAATTGCAGACGTGGAATTTCACTTCTGCTCCACTGGACTGTAGCACATTCTCAGGGCTGGACTCACAAAGTGAACTTGCTCACCAATGCTATAACTGACAACAATTTTCTTCTTTTGTTGAGTTTCAAACATTGTTTCATCGTGAACTTGGAATGAAGAGTTAACGCAGTTTTGTGAAAATGTTTGGTTTTGTGTGATTTTACATCCCACCTTGTGAAACTAATGCAAGCCCTTTTTTTTTTTGAATTCCCAAAATGTACATAAATGATCAGATTTTGTCTAGTTTAGTCTATAAACAGATAAATGCATATGAAGGTAGATATTTGTAGGCAAGAAACAAGATTTTGGGATCTGGTTTCCGTTTGTAATCCTTTTGTAGTCTGAATAGCACTGGTCGATAATGTGTGAGCGGGCATTGATTGCATGCAAACAATCCGCGTGGACTGCGAAAAAGGCGGAACGCATCGGACAATATGCAATCATCAGTCAGTTTGCGTCTACATTACTCACAGTGCAACTGGACTGCCCACAGTTCTGGCAAAGATTAAGGTTTTGTTATTAGAAACGGCTACTGTAGCCTCGACCCGGTGGCCTTAAGCAGGAATGAGAAGGTCTGGTAAGGTTAACTCTTTCTAACGCCACACCCCCAGAATGTTTTCCTTTTCAAACCTGTAGTTTTCAACCTCAACCGACACCGATATATATCCATCTCCATCTGGAGCTACAAAAGGCTAATTCAACAGAGAAAGGTTCAACTTTGTTGATGTTATGCAGCAATGTTAATGTCCTGGAGACAACCAATCATGTTCTTTTTGTTTCCCCCGCTACATAAAAGTACATTTTCACTGTCAGTGGCTGATTTTATTGATCTACCAGGACTTCAATAAGAAAAACAATAGGAACTATCTCGAAAATAACTGCCCAATCAGGGCTGAGTATATAAACAATACGGCCAATGATGCTAACACACCTGCACATTTCAGGCTTGTGAGAAAACAAGTCTGCTACTTTGAGCCCAGATGAACACTGAAGTTATGTTGGAAAGGGATCTCTTTACAGCCAGTATGGAGAGCACATACAGATTACAACTACCATTAACTTTCAATATACATGAGAATTTAAAATGTGTGTACCTTTTCTTTAAGAAAATCACATAAGCATAAAATAATATTGAAAGGTCTTGAATATGTGGACCCCGCGACCCTGTACGCAGGATAAGTGGTTGACGATGGATGGATGGATGGATGGATGGATGTGGATGATTTGAATGAATTACTATTGATGCATGAATACAGGTAGCTCAAGCAGACCATACAAGCCATTGATTCAACATTATTTTAGTACAAACATACAGTCAGTTTCAATGTTGCTGCAGTAAATTATCTTTTTATCAAAGAGACTGTTCATGAAAATGTATACAGAGTTAAAATAAGGCAGTTTAAGAAATATGCACAATGAAGACACCACTGGTGGGAACAGAGTATGGACGTGAAATCTCACACACACCTGACATGTACGGATGCACCTATACTACCTAGATGACTATACAGTCTGTTCCACAATACTGATGTGTACCATTTAAGACTATTATTATTTATTAAAAAAACACCTTTTCCACAAGGACATTTGCTTTAACTGTACACAACAACTGTATCTCTTGCGTTTTCCTGCTAAGTCAAACTATGGAGAAATATTTTGGGCTTTCTGATATGAGCTATTCATCTATGTCGATATTTTTAAAAAAAGAGCAAAGGTTATTTACATAATGAACCCGATGAACTGAAGCTTGCCGCAGAAACCAAGTCATTATAGTAAACACAGGAATGTGTTTTTGCACTTTTAGCACTCTGAATGATAGATGTTACACATGTGTTTGATTCGGACTTATACAGAGTGGTAATTTAGGAATGTAAGCCTGGAAACTATCTCCTTTACTGCTAAACATCAGCACAACAATGTCACATGTTTTCATAATGAAATGCGTCATTCATATTGAAGAGGAAAATGAGGGCAGACATCAGCTCTTTATTGAACAGTAGCAGTTACGCCAACAACAACAACAATCTACTGGTTGTTTATACAGAAAAATAACCAAAGATCTAATATTCACATGTTGATACAGCTCTAAAAGAGACAATCTTGATGAAACAGAATTTGTGCAGGAAAGCTTTAAATGTAAGTCTTGCAGTTTAAGGTAGACTGTGGCGACATGATGGTGTTGGTTTGGGCCGGCTGACTGTGATCGAGTCGCATCCTGAAGGAATCACTGATGTGAGACACACTCCTGATTGTCAAAACAGCTGAGGGAAGAGAGCAGAACACACTTCCCACCATCAACCAGTACGAGAGCCCAAACTCAAATGTAATTCCTGGCATCCCCAGAGTCACCTGTTGGAGAAACATGCCGAAATAATTAAGTAAGCAGATTGTTTCTTACTCTGAATATGCATTAATGTCATGAAAACGGTCTACCTGTGATTTTTCCACCTGCTCTCTCTAGTGGTATTATTAGAAATTCAGTAAGTGCTAAGACAAAATGTAGACTGCAATTTCATAAGAACGTCTAACTTGATTTTTTAAAATTCTTTGTGAATACCAATAAACCTGCAAGGTTGTATCCTCTTCCTCTCTGAGATCTTTTTTGTGAAATCCACTGCCTGCTAGCTACACTGGTTAGCAGAGTGGACCGCAGCTCTTACAATTTATTTTAGCTTGACTTGACAGGTTTGTCTCGGAGCTGGGCATCAAGCATCAGTTTCTGCGTGCCAGCACATTCAGGAGCAGAGGACTGAATTATATGAAAAGATATCTCACAATGTTTTTATGATCATCTCAATGCAAAGGGATGGATTTGTCAGTTTCAAATAAAGTCACTAAAGTTAATGGGCAGAGGAAGAAGCTGTAAACATAACAGCAACATATTCTCAACTTATAATTATTTTAATAATATATTTTATTATATATATTGTTTACACATCCAACAGAAATGGCATAAAATTAGCATTCATTTGAAGTGTTTCCGAATCCAATATTCACTCTCCTTTTAGGTTTTGGTCTCTACCAACTCCTGAGAAAAATACCTGTCCCTTAAGCTGCTAAATGTTAGTGTAGACGTTCGAAAGTAAGACAGCAACAACTAGGATACACTGACATGGGAACAATTAACTCTCACACACACATTAACACATTGATAAACGCCAGGAATACTGATGTCATAGTTCAAGAACTGTTAACATCATTTATTTTGTGATCGTTGCAAGTTATGCAACCGTACTAATGATTTACACCTTAATGTTGATTCTTGACCTTTCGGGAACAGTATGTGCAACAATATAATCTAAGCCACTTGCTACCTTTTCGGGGATTTCAACTTACTCCCAAAGTCTTCAACAGTGAATGCTGAACTCGTTCATATTTTATACAAAAGACCAGCTAGAAGATAGACATGGGTTATGATCTCCTTCACATACACGACCACCTCTTGTCATGTGACTGAAGTTCCACGCCTTGTGATGATACCTGAGCCAGCTCCACTTACTGATAAAGACATTCAAGTTAAATTTAAGAAGACATGAAATAAAGGACCTTGTTGTTGTTAAAATGATGTCAGATAAACCTTCAACAAGCTCTTGATAACAGGAATCTCAAAACAAAAGAAATTGGTTTTAATTTATTAGCAATGCTGATACAATTACCTTTGCAAATCAATTAAATTAAAATATTGAAATATTATGAATAATTCAAAATCTTATGAAAAGAATGTGATACATGGTTACAGAAAGGTGTTTTGATAAAGCAGAATAAAATAAATACGAGCCTCATGGCAGCTAGACAGGAAATTAAGAGGTTGGATCATATTTTGTGCTTTCTTGATGCAATATTAGCAGAAAAAATCTGAATGAGATTGACAATTTAGATCTGTTTCTTTTGACGATGGAAAGGTTTGGTATTGGCTGTGGGTTTTTAAGGTTTCTAATAGGTCATATAATCTCATGGTGTTGTGGTGTTGTGTGATGACACCTACCTCCTCTCTGTATCTGGTGTAAGTCTCCACCCCATACCACAACAGGCCAGCTGCACCACACACACCTGAGAGTGACACACTCATTTTAAACCAATGCACAGATACGAGTCAACATTACAACTGTCAAAGCATGAACAGTAAACAAACTTAAGTGTGTGAACCAGAGAATGATATGAATCTGAAGTAGTTACCCACTGTGCAGAAACCACAAACCAAACAAACTGCTTCTGGCTGGATTTGACTAAGGCTGTTAAGTGCGAGTGAGGGGCAGTTTTACAGACCTCCACACAGACAGAGGACGCCAGAGATCAGCAGCAGCCTGCCCTGAGCCAGCACACTGGGGATCAATGTAGTGCACCTCAGGCCGGGTATCGAGATCAGGATGGAGACCAAAGACAGAACGCACATCCCCAGCAATGCTATTCGCATGGCCAACAAATCAGCTGTTGGAAGAAGAGACAAGATCAATATGGAGAACTCCTTACCCACAGAACCCAAAATGGATCACGACATTTTAAAACAGTCAGATCAGTTTATTAAGAGGAGTCAGACATGTAGTCAAGAATGATACTTGATGATTGTTTGTGCTTTGTATTCTTCTTTATGTGTTTTTCTGTTAAATTAAAACGTGCATTTATATGAAAGCCCATCTCATGACAAGGAAAACTAGCATAAACAATAAATGCTGTGGTATTTGGCATTGCTCCATGTACTTCTAGCTTACAACAGTTCATTCATTCTATTTTTTACTCTTAAAGGTACAATGTGTAAGAACAGACCCTTCGCTAAGCCACGCTACCCTTAGTTACTGTTGCTAAGTCAGACAAACTGTTGGATTTGCTGCCACTGTTTATAACTGCACTCCCTGGAGAAATATTGTCTAATTTTTTGAAAAATGAAAAAAGCGATCTCAGAAAGGAGACAGAAAGGTTAGCATTATACATTTGAAGGTTGTATTCAGGCTGTCAAACTGACGTCAAACAAATAATTAGAGAAGCTAAAGCCTAATGTTACTGATCACAGAGTAAAAGTGAACCACTGCATCACCTGACAACTGAGACAGAGGATAACGATATTAGGGATCAACACTGTTCCTGTAAAGCTGGGTAGGCCTCTGTTCACTATTACAATCATTAAACAGCAAAAACAGTAGGGTTATATAACGTTACATTCAGTAGTATGGTAAGTTATGTAACTAGCATTAGCTAGCTAACACATTACATGAGGAACAACCCACAGCCAACATTTTTCTGAATTTGTTTTAGGTTTTGGAAAGTGAATAAATCGTACTTCTCCTTTCAGCCTCTCTGGGTAGCGACTGTAACTATTACAAGTGCCCAAGAAACAGCCTTTGACCATATCTTGGAAAAATACAGCAAATAAAAGCTAGAAAACAACGCTTTTTGCATACGAGTCAATGGAGCGCAGCCATGAAAGTGTCTGACCTCAGTTAGAGCGAGTCCTGTACTGCGCTGTGATTGGTTAGCTGCATATTTGGGGCGTGGCTTAGCACAGGGTCAATTGATGCTATTCTCAAATTTATACTCCAAAAAATAGGCTCATAACTGTTGCTAGCTAGTTAGCAGCTGTACTGAGCTGTACTACAGATCAGGGTACATACTATCGAGGTACAAAGTGGTATTATCAGAAAGACAGGCTGTGGCTAGCTGGTTAGCATAACCAACTAAGCTCTGCAACATAACACATTGACGTATTTGTCATAACATCCGAACTGTTACTTCTTTACATTCTATTGATAATGTTAGTTCTTTTTTTTGAATGTTTTAAACTGAACTTCTGGACAAATCTTACACATTGTATCTTTACAGTTTCAAATTTTTCTTCACAGTTTTCAAAGTCTCGTATACAATTTTACCCCCATTCACGTTAGTGGAGGGCTAAAAGTTAGCCTGCTCAGCCGGCAAAAGTCAACACAGTGGAGGCTGTAGCGCTACTGCCGACTCCTACGCAGGAGTACAAATCAAGGTTTACGCGTTACTGAACGCACCATCTTGGATGCGCGGCTGTGCGGCACCTCAGTGGCACAGGACCTTCATTTGTTCATGTCCGGAAGGAAGAAAGGAGAACGAGGGAGAGAGGCGTTCTTTCCACAGCTGTAAGTAGCCTACTGTCAACCCCCCCCCCCCACCCGCCGAAAGGAATAAAGTAACCTAACAAGTAACGTATCTAGTTACTTTTATCACACAGTAATTTAAGTAAAGTAATATTATTACTTTTTGAAGGAGTAATAAGTATTACAATTTCTGAGTAACTTGCCCAACACTGGTCATTTCCTTTTTGATCATTTAAATAACGTGTTTTATTTCATAGAGTAAAAAGCGTTTAACTTTGGGGGGAACTGCATTTCTGTTATCAATATAGTACTGTAGTACCCTGTACTTAAGTACAGCTTTGAGGATCTAGTGCTGTAGGCCTACTTCAATAATTCAACTTTATTACTAACTTAACTTGTTACTACCTCTTCTCCACTATTAAATTGATATTAATTTTTTACTCCATTACGTTCATCTGACAGCTGTGAAATGAAAAGTTACTTTAAAGATCGAAATTTTGGATATGACATATGAATGTAAAGTAATTTGCATATAAAGTAGTTGAAACATAGCTCCACCTCGACCAGCTGAAACATTAATGCTGCTTACACATTCATGCATCAGTAATAATTAACCTAAACTAAAATATATAATAACATGTTGTAATCATGAAAGGGGCCATATGCAATACTTAATGAGTATTTTTCTGATCATGCTGTCAGTCTCTGTGTTAAAAGACCTGGAGTGAGGTTCCAGTCAGTAATATGGTTGGGCTATACTTTGAATCAAAGATTGTTCCTGTGAAGAGAGTAACAGCGCATCAGGAGTGAGAATTATTAGACGTCTCTGCAGTGATATTTGTGGAAGAGGAAGATACCATGATTGAAGGTGTAGTGTTGTTGTACCTGGCAGATGTTCCATGTAAGACACTGACACATCACATGTCCTCAGGCCAACCAGGCTGTCATGAACACACTCCCCCCACAGGCCTCGACAACGGGAGCTCAGGCCTACTGAGGTCAGCTGATCCTTAGCTCCATGCTGGACCAGGAGACACATTAAATTTGTGAAAGGCCTGATCACTAACTTAAGCACAATGATTAAAGTCAGGTTGTAAATCCATCTTAACTGTAATAAAAATAAGGTATTGGAAGTTGAAAAACATGAATAAATGTGTCCTCAAAATACGCACTTTACATGATTGGTCGTCTGGCTTCACAACCACACACTAAAGCTCAGAGTTTACCCACCAGTGTATCACTGCAGTCAGACAGACAGTAGTGCAGCCTAGTGGTTACTTTACACTCCTTCTACATACAATGATTAGCAGTGACTGCCGATGAGAAGTCGTGTGTGTGCGTGAGTGCACACTTGTTCCTACCCTCCAACAGTCCTTTCCAGCAGCAGCGATTAGCAGCAGCTGGCTTGTCAGTGCTATCAGCAGCCCCAGGACCTCAGTCTGTCCTCTGCTCATCCTGTCCTCTACTCAGCTGCTGGAAAAAAAACAACAACTTCCATCATAAAACATCAGAAATGTGCAGATTTCTAGAAGGAACTGTTTTACAGTGATGAAGAGAAGCAGCCTGGTTCTTAGATGGACTTAAATTAAAAAAATTATGACATTATCATTTACACTCATAGCACCTCGTCCACACAAGTGATGAAAGAAGTATTCAGATCCTGGACTTCAGGAAGTAAAAAATTATTAGAAATACTTCATTACAAATGAAAGATTCAAAATCAAATTAAAAAATACAGAATATATATAAAATTATGTAGTTATTTCTATTAGTTTTTGTGAATTTGTGCGTTTTAACAATCTGTGGGGAGTCTACATTTTGTAATAAAAATGGTTTTATTAATTGTTTCCCAGTAATTCTTACTTTTAGATTCAATATCTTTAAATCCGACTACTTTACAAAATAACAAAAACATCAGCATTTTGGGTTTTGAAACACCCTGGAGACCTTCATACTGGGAAATAAAATAAACAGAGAGCTAAATAAAACACAAAAGTGTTCCTCTTGATTTCTGGTGTGTTGAGGGGTGAGCTAAGACGAGTCATTACTTTAGTATTTCTAAAATCCTAACAACATGAAAGTGAATGGATAAAAATGTGCAGACAAGAGGAGAGACTTTGGTCAAAAAGAAGCAAAAAAGGAAATTTACACCTCAAGTGGAAGAGAAAAAAACTGATATTGTATAACAAAAGTGTAGTGTATAAAAAAGATAATCCTTAGACGACAACTTCCATAACTTTAAGATGGTTAAAAAAGCTTCAGACATTTTAAAGAAATGTTTTCAAAGACGTTACATTATCTTTTAATGAGTAAAATGTCTGTTATCGCCCCGTGTGGGGAAACAGCCTTTCTTTAAATATCTTGACAAAAGAATCATAGTAGTAATCTTGCCGCTGTCGTGAGGGTAATGAACAGTGGTGTGAAACTATTGAAAAAAACACTTACCTCTTAGAAAATGCTTTATTTCAAGGACTGACTCTCAAAGTGGATTTGTTCATTTCCCAAAAAGAGAAACGTGGAGGAAATTTGGCGCAAAAGCTTCAGACTGTGTGTCTTTGCCCTTGATCATTCCCAAATGAAGTGGTGTAGGCCTGTGTTAGTGGGGCTTGGCATAGTGCTGAAATTAGGTCTCAAGACATTAACCACGCATGACCTTCATAACTGCACTATGACTTTCCATTTTGCTCTCCTCTCTGTTTATCCTTTGAGAAGTTTCACCCTTGTCTCAACTCTAACTTAAAAGAAAAATAACTCTTTCTCCCCTCAAACAGAGAACAAGAAAATCCGCCTCATTTGAAGACATTTTCTTCCATTTCAGACTGTCCAGATGTGGCAAGGAGATATTTGTGTTGAGATGACAAGATAAAAAGGAAACAGTTAAATCCATCACAGAGAAAGGAGGAGAGACATAGGGACAGACAGAGAGAGCCAAGCCATATTGAGATGTTCAGAGGGATTATTGTGGAGTGAAAATGCCAGCAGGCGCAGTGCCAGCTGCCTGCGAGCTGCTGCTGACAGGCTGAAGAGGGCAGTGTTTGTCTTCCTACTGCACCACACCACCGGGAAGATGTGTCAACCAAAAAAAAAAAAGCTCTTATCCATAATTACTTTCAGTGATGTATACTGAATCCAGAAAGCTCTCTGCATATTAATATGGAGTATTAATAGGTTTCACAATAATTAAAAGTGAAGAAAAAATGCTTTAGAATTTACAAAGATTCGTTCAGGTCTAAATAAATGTGCTTCAATAAAAATAGAGGGATTTGGTTGCAAGTTTCTGCTGGGCCTGTCATTAGTAATGGAGTTGAACATGGAGACATACAGTGAGCAGTTACAGTGTGTGAGTGTGTGTGAGAGAGATCATATTTAAGTAGTCATGTCATGTGTGTGTGCATGTGAATATTGGCAGTTTTTAACCTTGTATGCACTGGCCGTCGGGAGTGTCGGGACATTTCCCAGAGGCCTGAGGGCCGTTTTGGCCTGTGGTTAATTGTCAACTTGACCAGCGGCAGCGATAATACGGCTAGCTTTTTTATAATCTAGCAAGCAGGACAATCTGCATCCACCGTGTGCGTGTTATCTCTCTCTGTGTTTCTCTGCCGGTGTTAAGAGCTTCCACACAGCTGGCCACATGTTTTAGTGTTTGTGTGAGTGTGTCTAAAGACTTTTCTGATCGGGAGCGACCCTCCTTTGAATCCACAGGGTCTCACTGCGCTCCCCATGTGAAAAGACAGACAGACAAGCGCTCCAAAGGGAAACACCATGGCAACGGCTTCTGTTGCTACTGAATCTCTGCAACTGTATTGGCTTTATAGACTAGGCCTATAGAAAACATCAACAAAATATAGTCTATCGAGTATTAGTTATTGAACGACGTGTTTATTTTTGTGCGGTTTGCTTTATGGACCCTGGTGACTGAACTGAACACAGGAGTGCTTTTTGGACTTTTGTTTTGCATTAGGCTATACTTACTTTCATTATTGTAGCTTATGTTCAAGTTCAGTGAACGTGTGTGTGGGTGTGACGCTTATAATACTTTTAATATGATTGATGCTTGTATATAAAGATACATGTCCAACATTCAATCAGAGGTGAAAAACTCTGTAGTCGTAGATCTCATTCTAGTCTTTAAAAGTGGAGCTAGGCTTATTTTTTGTGTCTAGCCTTGTAAAGTTTGTTTGTATTTGCTATGATTAGTGTAGCTAGCCTAGGCTATTTCTCTGGAGTTTTTGAGGGTCCACCCTTACAGTAGCTATAGCACACCTTGAAAACTCAATGTTCACATAGGCTACTTTAATGATAAGTCCCAAATGTCTGTAGATGAACATAATGGTTTACCTGGTTTAGGACCCATTAAATCAACAAAGTTAGTAAGTTAGTCCACTATGTTAGCGGTCTGGTGGTTGGCGTGAACAAGGTGGCCTGGGATGGAGTCAAATTCCCAGCCTGAATTATTGTGTCAGTCCGCCCCTGCTTGTATGTGTTTTGTGTGTGTTTGTGTGGGGACATGTTGTGTGACTTGGTGTTACTTGTTTCATGGTTGTTTCTGTGTGTGTCCTGTCTATATTTTCAGGTCTCGCTCCATCCCAATCTTCTCTCTGCATTACTCCACTCCATCTCCTAACGATATGGGTTAAAGCCTCATAATCACCTATTGATTCCTCATCATCATTACCACAGTTTAATGTTGTATATGGAGCGTCATCTGAATGGGAGTCTGCATGGGACCATCACACCCTGCCTTTGATTTGAACAAGGTCAGAGGAATCGATATAGACGTGCTAAGAGAAACACCTTATTTCCACAGGCTGCCAGCGGAGCACATGGTCCGGAGCTCCTCCTCAGTCCAGACGTCTGTGTACAGTGAGTGTCTGCCGGTAAAAGACCACACATTGAAAAGAAAAAAAAAAGTTTTATGAAGCCATAACTGGTTTTATGGTATATTTTTGTGTTTAATTTTGTGTTTGTGTTTGTGCACAGTTAGTCGTACCTGTGACTACCTGACTTTAGCTAGATGCCCTGTGTGCCACTGCAACATTAGCTTTAAGCATGCACCATAATACTGTGTTACATGTTACAAAAGCAGTGCTGCTGCACTAAATGACCACATGTCCACAACCTGCATGTTGCAAGTGGGACATGAGGGTGTTCCTGGGTCTCACCATTAGCCACAGGACAGGACTCTGGATCTCCCACTTAACCTCCTCCTGTGAGGCAGTAGACTGACTTTAGTCAGCCTGCTCTTTTCTTACTGCAGACAGTTTAGATTTTTAATCATGTATTTTTTTTTAGTATTTAATAATTCATAAACCGTTGCTTCAACAGAGCAACTCACCCCAACATTAGTTGCTAAGGAGAATCAGAGGTGAAAAATCTTTGGGTGACATATTAAAGCGTCTGCAAAGGGAGGAACTTAGAATCAACACTGACAGTAAAACCTAATGCCAAAAACCATCCCCCTCCCATCAGGCACTGACAAACAAACAATTAAAGGATTCAGAGGAGTGGAAAGTGATGAAGTCCACGAAACTTTCACTATTCATACTGCTATGTGTCACTGCTGCTCGCGGATGTGTTGCCTTGGGCAGCATCACAAATAAAGCCATCTCTGCATCTGTTGCTGATCTTTGAAGTCTTTCCATTGAGAGACGACAGCACGGAAAATTGAGTCTTGTTTTTACTCAAACTCCTGTTTTTTGCTTTGAGACTTTCCTGAGATCTAATTCATTTTTTTTCTAGATGGCTGAAGGCAGAGCTGCGTCTGCCATGCTTCACTGCACCTACACAATCCAAAATAGCCTGAAGATCTGGGAATAATTATCTAAATTTGCCTCCGCTTGTCATGCTGGACCATAGACTAAGTCTTTCTGTGTTCCACCTAAAACTTCACAGATTGAAAATAAAGGAATGTTTTCTCATGCAGCTGTTACCTGCTGCCAAATTCTGAGTGGTGCTCTCACTATGAAGTTGGCTGAACTACCGACTGCTTTTCCTTTCTTCTTCAGGTTTGTTATAGCATTAGTGCTGACTCAGAGAACTCCATCATTATATTAACTGCACACAAGTGATTACTTCCAGTCGCAATCACCAGAATCAAACTTTGGCACACATTCATGCACAGATGCACGCACACACACTCACACACACAGCGAGAAATACAGTTGAACCCACAATAAGTCGGAGATCCAGTTAAAAGTGTGTTTTTTGGAGATCTCTGCAGCTGCACGCCCAGCAGCTGACAGCTGGAGTGTTGTGTGATAGAGAGTGTTTGTCAGTGTGTGTGATGCGTGCCCGTGTTCGCATGATAAGCTGTGAGTGATTATCATTGTTGTTGTATCACAGTTTATCACACCACAGGAGAACAGTTACACTCACCTGGCCATGTTTTCCCTGGAAGCATCATCATTCTGATATGCACACACACACACACACACACACACACACACACACACACACACAGGCGTAAAACTTAATCTAATCTGTGTGTTTTCTCTCTGCTGCAATAATACAGGGGCCTAATTGGCTCTGACAACTTGGCCGACTCAATTCCAGCCAGTCTCGTCCAGAATGCCTCTCTATGTCTCTAATTAGGTCCAATCAGCCGGAGTGATATTTATCGATTCACCTCATCCCTCTTTCTCTCTCACACACACTAACACACACCCTCCATCCTGCTCTGCTTCACACCAACCTCTCTTCATTCTTCCTGCGTTTCTTTCTGAAGGAGAATGTGTTCCTCCTCTCTTTGGCTAATTTTAGTATGAGTAAAATAATTATGATTGATGCAGGTGCCTCTCTGTTCCTTCAAAGCTTTTTAAACAGAGCCCCCCCCCCCCTTCAAAAAAAGAAGCAGGAAGCTAATTAGCGTGCGAGGATGAGCGAGGGGAGAGGCCTTATCGAGCCGTTATCAGCTCGCCTGCCCCACAGCTTTAAACATTATATTAGATATCTTAATCGTTCATTCTGACAGGGGCGTCAGGGACAAACTTTCTCATTTTTCTAGCCAATTGATGTGCTCTATTTTCCCCCCTCTGGTTCCTAACTTGTTTTTTTCCTCCTTTCTTTTTTTTTTTCGAGAGACACACAGCCGTCAGCTACGTGTCGGGAATGCTTGATGCTTTAATTCATCTAAACAACCTTTAAGCCTCGCTGCGAATGTAATGCTACGTTTGAGAGTCTGAGCAAAGTCAGCGTTGTGTCATTTTGGGAGTATTGACGTGGCAGCCTCGCTGCTGAAGACACGTCTGCAGTGACATTGGAGCTGATGGTTGTTTCTGTAAGTCTGTGGTGAGATAGTGGCCTGATACAGACAAAAGGAAAGGGTTAGAGAGAGATACTGCACATATAGTGTTTCAGAATGCAGCACTGGCTGTGATCATTTTTATTTGAAGTTCATCTAGCCATGGTCCAAGACTGACACACTCGGTGACACAGTCCTGACCTAATTGCTCTGGTATGAACCTGAACATTTCATTCACTCTGGCATTTATCAACATTCATTAAAATATGAACTCACTGGATCAAAGGAAATCATTTTAGAGTGCTCCTGTATATATTCTTTTTCTTAATAAATAATTAAGAACAATAACAGCATGATTAAGAGGAGGCTAATTCCCATTAGAGAAAATGTTGATGTGTAAAATAAAAGATGACTTTTTTCTGTGAATTAGTATTTTCATTTTGTAAAATTAATTAATTCATTTGTGTATTTTGTTTAAATG